AAAGCTTTAGAGAATCCTTATAGGAAGAAAAGTTAAGTGTTCACTAGATGCATTAATAGATTACTTACATATGGATCTAGAGTGTTTGTATCAGATATTGATGATTTAAGACAAGAGATTCTACAAGAGGCCTACGTGGTAGCATATGTTGTTTATGTAAGCACCACTAAAATCTACCATGACTTAAGGGAAATGTACTAGTGGGAAGGTCTTAAGAAAGATGTGGCCAAGTATGTGTCCAAGTGTTTAGTATGCCAACAGGTTAAGGCAGAGCATCAAAGCCCTATTGGATTATTATAGCCTTTACCTATTCTCGAGTGGAAGTGGGAACATATCTTTATGGATTTTGTGACTGTACTAACCCGAACAAGAAAAAAGTGTGACTCTATTTGGGTGATAGTAGATAGGTTGACTAAGTTTTCACATTTTCTACTAGTAAAGACCATTTATGGGGTGACACAATATACTAGGCTATATATTGATGAGATAGTGTGATTGCACAGAGTCCTAGTCACTATAATGTCAAATTGGGACACATAATTTACTAGTTAATATTAGGGGAAAGTTCAAGAGGCTTTGGGAACAAAGTTGAATTTCAACACTACTTTCCACCCACAGATATATGGGCAATTTGGGAAGACTATTCAGATACTAGAGGATATGTTGAGAGTTTGTGTTGTAAACTTTAGAGTTGCTTGGGATTGACACTTGCCATTGGTTGGGTTTGCTTACAACAATAGTTTGTAATTTAGTATTCAGATGGTGCTTTATGAGGCTTTGTACAGACGGAGATGTAGATCACCTATATATTGGTTTGAGGTTGGTGAAAAAAAATTTTCTCAGATCGGAAATAGTTCAAGAGACTATCGATAAGATACAATTGATTAAAGAAAGAATATTATCGACATAAAGGTGTCAAAAGTCATATGTTGACCATAGATGTCAAGAATTGGAGTTCAAGATTAGTGATCATATATTCTTGAGGGTTTCGCCAACCAAGGGTGTTATAAGGTTTAGCAAGAAAGGCAAGATGAGCCCAAGGTATATTGTGCCATTTAAGATTCTTAAAAGGGTTGGCGCGGTGGCTTATCGATTATATGTTTCATGTTTCGATACTACGAAAGTATCAACCAAATCCCTCCCATGTGATTCAGCATGAGTCTTTGTAGTTAAAAAATTATTTGAGCTATGAGGAGATACCAGTAGCTATTTTGGATAAGCAAATAAGGAAGTTATGCTCTAAGGAGGTAGCTTGGGTTAAGGTGCAATAGTGTAACTATTTAAGCGAGGAGGTAACTTAGGAAGCTGAGAATGGCTTGTGCATGAAATGCCCACATCTATTTAGCAAAAGTTAGTATGCTATTTAAATTCAAAGACTAATTTTCATGAAAGGGTAGAATGTGAAATCCCACTTTGGATATATGATGATAAGCTAGGAAATCCTTAGCTAAGCATATAGAATACATGTTTTGAATATCAAACTTAGTTTTAACCTTTAAAAGAACTCATTGACACTTTGGTTGTCTGTTACTTTAGAAGTGGAAATTTTTTTAAATTTGGAAAAGGTTAAAATATGTGATTTTTGAAAAATAATATTTTGAAAATAAAATATTGTAGAATGAATCCCTTGGTATTTAAATGACCAAAAATAATTCTTTTCATAATTTTGGAGTACGTTTGCTATGGTAAATGAAAGCCGCAAATTTAATTTCAATCAAATTTTTTCGATTTTGTTCTTGAAACCGCAATTTAAATTTTGATTCTTTTGGATTTTGATTTTTTTCATATTTTTATTGAATTCAAATGTAGGGTTGTTTACTTATTTACTTTAAATATCTTAAATAAATGAGAGTAAAAAGGAAAGAAGTAAAAATGAGAATATTTATTTAAATAGTATTTAATGTAAAAAAGCCAAACAGGTTTTATATGTAATTTGTCTCAGAAATTGCACTCTGTTTCAAATGTATCGATACATGTTCATAATGTATCAATGCATATGGTCATGTATTGATACATGTTCCTAATGCATCGATATAATTTTTCCATATATAATGGCCAAATGTATCGATAAAATGGCTAAATATATTAATCCATTTCATCCATTTTAGAAAAATAAAAGAGATAAAAATATATTTTGATACCCTAACTTATAAATATACCACATTTTTCAAGGGTTTGTAGCTCTTAGCTACATTTGTAAGGTAAAACCCCAACTTTTAAGCTATTTCAACTCAATTTTGGCCCAAATCACCATTTTTTATGATTTTGAGCTTGGTTTTAGGTTTTTATGAGAAAAAAGGTATTTTCAAACTTTGAAAACATTAAATCTTGGATTTCCATAATGGAAAATGTTGTTTTGGTGCCCAAATTTTTCTATTGATTGCTAAGATCCAATGTTTTGTATTTTATCCTAAGCATTAAAGCTCACGTAAGATAAGGATTATGGTCTTATGAATTTTCTGCACGTGGGTATTTGTAGAACAGTGAACTTACATTGGAAAATTAGTTTTAGAAGAATCCAAATAGATTCGAAAGAGCTTAGAATGCTTAGAACTCGATTCTTAGACTGATTATTGATTATAAGAATTTTTTAATGCTTAAGATCGATCAAAACTCCAAAGGAATTGTTGCAATAGATTTATGCTTGGTTATAGAGATTAACTTTTCGAGGTAAGTGGATACACCACTTTCGAAACTATTTTAGTATGTAAAGTTGAAAGCATGGTTGAATGATTTGATGGAGTATTAATGAGCATGTTCTCCATAAATAAAAATGGGTTGTAGATGAGAAAATGTTTTGGAAATGGTTTTCAAAACTATTATGTACAAGTAAATATCCAACTATGTAGTAATTTTCTACAAAGGGGGACAAGTCTTTTCAATGTTTTGAACATTTCTCTTAATTACTCTGGCCTTTGGACTAGTGTGGGTATGAGATATTAGTTGAGATAGTGATTTTGGTTGACTTAAAAAAATTTCTGGCATGTGAGTATTGTGAAAATGGATTGAGAATGTCTCTATTTTCCCATGATTTATGAAATTTACATGATATATGACAAAAAATCACACTTTATGTTGAGAAGTTCCATAAAGAAGTGATCTTGATGAATTATTGCATATTTTGATTATGGATGAATTTATGCTTGTGAATGTGATGGATGACTAACCCATGCATTTGTGGATTTAGGCTTGCTTGGGACTAGTGGGCCATAATCATGTGGGTCCATGTGCCGATCATGATCCTTTCGGAATGAAATGTAACACTCTCTCGAGGTGATGAAGGTATCGAAGCCCCCATATTGAGTATGGCTTTAGTTCTTTTATCATTCAACAACACATCCACATATAAGAAACCTTGTTAAGGCTCTTTCTTCATCTTTTCTAGTTACGCTTGTAAGGCATTCATGAATTGAATTGAACCAATTTGCACCAGCTCCTCTTCAAATTCCTCAATTGAAGTTCACTACCCACCATTGCTGTAGTCACACCCTGCACCTTTTGTTGCTACATTTCTGTCCGTACCCATGATTTTAGACCTTGAGAAAATAGAATAACTTATCTTTCTTGGTCATGTTCCTAATATCTAGCATTAAGGTAGAGAAATTTATCATAAATTCCCATACTAACCTAGTTTGAGTCAAATCTCACAACTCTCGATGAGCCATGTACTCTACATTTTCAAGAAAAAATTGATACTTTAATTCTCACTTAAGGTCTGTCCAAGTGGTGATGTGGCACTCAACATAGACAAATTTGGAACACCACCATAACTTCCCAAACAAGATACATTATGGCCATCGGCACCTTGTCTTCCTCCAACTTTGTGTGCACAACTCGAATGTACTATTCAATGTCAAAAAAAGAAGTTCTCCAGCTCCTTTGCATCCTTAACCCCTTTGGCTCGCTTGGGCTTTGACGTTTTAGCCCTTTTCCCTCAATCTCGTAAATTTACAATGGTATTACTTGCAGCAATAATCAAGAGATTTACATGAACTTTTAATTCTCCAAACTCAACTTGGAGAATGTTTAATGCATCGCTAATCTCATCACTCAAAGTATTTATTATATCGAACAGTTCCCAGTAGACTGTTTAAATTATATCGATTCACTCATGCGAGACCATATGAATTTTTATTGCGACTACTACGGCCTCTAACTCATCAATTCTCTGATGGTCCTCTAGTGCACTTCATGTGGTCACCATGTTTGCTTTTTCACTTAGCACATCTCGCATGTGCTATGATACCAACCGTCACAAACTATGCTCCTTCGCTTAAAGATGCAATAGTCCATGCAGCACTTGGATGGACGTTTCCACACAAGACAACCAATAACTTGATTATAATTGAGCAAACATTAATAATAGCCACAAATTAATTTAAGAAAATGCAACATTGAAACATAAGATATAACGAATGTCATATATGCAACCACTAGAATCACATAAAGAAAATGTTATATTAATATCAAGAAAAGTACAAAGGGATCAAGATGCGTCATTATCTAGTCATAGAGGTAATCTTAGATGATTAACTATAAACATACCTTTACCAGTGAGACAACTCAATAATCTGTCAAATGTTCACCCCTTATAAAAAATTAACAAGATTTTTCAAGTATATTACTACGAGTCGTTACAAGGCATGGGATGGGGACATATTTTCCTTAAAGAGTCTTCCCCTAAAAGCTTAACAAGAATTTTTAAATACTCCACCAAATATCATTATAATGTTTGAAAAAGAATATTTCCCTTGAGAGTACAAAAACCTTAAATCTCTTAAACAATTCTACCTTATCATGATCCTATACAAAATTGACACATAACACTTAACATGACGTCTCTCTTAGTCATTTCTTGGTTGTGCTGCACGAGGGGGTGTCATGACAATTATTTCATGACTTGAGGGTGTCATGATAATGATTTCATAACTTGGCTCAACGGACGTTTGAAAATTTTTCAAAAAAAGTTGGTGAATTGATATATGTAACACCGCCAAATATATTTCAGTAAATCATGAGCAATGACAACTGAAACGAGCTTTTCAATATTAATTAATTCCAAGTAAATGTAGGGGCAACGCATCGTTTGCAAAGGGCAGGGTAAGCCCCTCACATTGCTACAATTGACAACCCTTCGTGTCATAATTTTCAACTATGTTGAGCTTAGCTCACATAGGAATGGGACTGTCTGCGCTAACAAATACTCTTGCAAGCATATATATATATATATATATATATATATTTAAAGACTATCAATGCGTTTACAGCTTGTGTGGCAAGGAAGTCTAGAATGACACCAACTTTTCGTCTAACCTAGCTCTGACATTGGGAGAGGAAGTTTCACCGGCTCCAAGATCTTGAAAACTACTGGGAAAAGATTCAGAATCACAACCTTCACCCGATAGGGGATTCCCAAGCCTGAGGAAATAGCTCCAGCACCTGAAGGAAGAAAAAAAAAACAAATTAAAAATTAACCAGGACTTTGAACTAGAAACCTCACCCCCGCCACACCCAACAAAAAGTTCCCCAACCTCAAATATGATGCCTAAAAGGGTGCAATTGAAAATTTATTTTGTGTTTGATTGATGCTTTTCTTCCAGCACCGAGTGGCATGTTGCACTGTCAGTTATTTACAGATAAAAGCTGTTCTGAATTGTGGCAAATGGCTTATATCCAGTATCTAGGACTACACTGCACCTAAAGAAATATGAGTTGCTGTTCTGAGTATAATAACAAATGAGTTGCTACACTGAGTATAATAAAAAATGAGTTGCCGTATTCTGAGGCATTACCTCTTGTCTTGACCAAGATCACTTAGCAGCCACTTGCTGTCAACTTGAATAAAGAACAAAAGGCACTGCAGTACATTATTAAAAAAAAAGAACATAAAAAAGAATCACTCAGCAGCACAAAATCATCAATTAATGTTATCTTTTATCTCATTAGGACAATTGACAAATTTCAAATGCTCCTATGAAATTTACAATGAGTATTGGTGAAACTTTCAAGGCATATAAGCTACTCTTGATCCTAAACATAGTCCAAAAGGCATTGTTGATCATTAAAAAAATTATCTGGATTAAAATGCCAGATTACAAATAGAAGCCAAACACAAGATATAGAACCAATCATGTTAAGTAATTTCTGATCCCTGCAGCTCAATGATAGTGATACTATAATGGACCAAAATAACATCCACAAAATTCAACTTGACTTTATGCATAACATATATATAAACTATACCAAGTAGTTTGTTGCTTAAAATGCAAATTTGTCTGCAAATATTACTAAACTAGAACCTTAGATTTGTGAGTGTGCTAAAAGCATGAAAAACTAAATACTTGGCATCTTAAGAGAGTGCTCTGAGTTATTAGTTCATACTTGTGTAAAATGACAAGCTAACAACCAAGATCAACAAAATAGATATCCAATTGATCAACCTAAGGTTTCTTACATGTAGCAGGGCCAAATTGAAAGGAAAGAAGCTTTCAATGCCCATTAAGAAAAGGAAAAAGAAACGCATGCCTGCCATAGAAGATATGTTCTCTTCAAAAAATTTTAATGGTTGTTCTTGCATTGGTATTTAAAAAAAAAAAAAAAAAAACAAAGCATCTATCAGGAAAACCACAGAGTGATTTAGAGATAAACAGTTACTTTATAGACAAACAAAATCATGCCATTTCAATTAGTGCAAATTCCTTGATTACTTAGTAATTAAAGCCCCATATTCAAATAGAGAAAGGGCTCACCAATTAGAAAAATAGCAATCATTAGAGCAAGTGTAAGTTGCAGTGAACAACTAAACTGCAGGTGCACTGGACTTTGCAATTGTCTCTGTAACCCACCAACCCAGCCAAAACGCTGCAATACATAAACTTTATTAGATTCCTTGAGAACTTAACTAACATTTGTGCTCAAGATGTTGATTATATAAGAAACATAACATAGTATAAATGAGTATAAAGAACAAATAAAGTATGTAAAGGATGCCCCTTCCCTGATTCTTACCTGATTGAATAAACTAAATGCACCCTTTGCCAGAGGAAGTTCCCCGCACCTTTGCTTATGGAAGAGAGGCTTGGATCCTTTTTCTTTAGGTGTGGCCTCAATGCCTGAGCTGATCTGGCTTCTATCTTCATATTTATCAGCAATTACAATTTTCAATGCACCAAAATTTGGTGAACTCCATGTTCTCCTTGTACCAGTTGTTCTATCTTGTCCACAACTTACCTCATCTGTCCTTCCAGAACTTTCCTCATCTTCGACATGAATGACACACTCAGCATCATTACCAGAATCTTTAAAAACATTCACTTCACAAATATTTCCATTGCAAGTAGAATTAAAATTAGAATTTGAATCCATTCCTCCATGACAATTCTCCAAAAGAGTGTTTTTCGCTGACGGTTGCAAGCTTGGAGAGGTTCCAGAAAGGAACATGGCTAAATCATCACGTTCTTCTTCATCCAGATTTACCCACCTAAGGGGTTGCTTTCCCTCCTCAATAAATGCTTCCTTTAATGCATCTTCTACATGGCAAATCTGAATCTCAATGGCAGCAATAAATTGTCTGTGCCTAGTCGCTGTAATATCATCACAACGATGTCCATGGCTCAGCCTTATAGCTCTCTCAAACTCTTCCAACTGAATTTACATGCACAATTTAACACAGAGTAACTATTAGCATGAGCAATTGGTTGAGTAAAGCGACGGAATGGGAAAAAAAAATGTGATTTCTCTGTTCTACATTTGAGAAGAACATACATGTAAAGGTGAGGGAAAGAATTTGAGAATGCTTAATGTCAGTTTCAATATTTGTTGAGACCTGGGAAAGCATAAAATCTACTCTCTGAGCCTGTAAAACACTAGATTTGAATTGAACAAACTGGAGCAAGTTAAAGATACAAAATTAAAACTGAAATAAAATTACTTTTCTTCAAATTTCCTAGAAATGGATAAAAAGTAATGGTATCTGGCAAACGCCAATGTCCTAACTGTGATAAGTGCAAGTAAGGAGCAAAAAATAAAAAATAAGTATTCAAAATTCAGATTCACCAAAGGAAAAAAAAAGGAAAGGAAAAAGTAGCATACCTGCCATTTAGCAGTACCTAAAGCAGTTTGCAGTTCTCTACAGAGTTCAGCAGATTCTGCTGTTTGTAACCCTTCTCTCCTCTCTTTGATCCACATTCTGTAAGCTGATTCCATTCTGTAAAACAGAATCCATGAACATACTTTATTATCTAAAAAAACCACAGATTTAACTTGTAAAAGATCTTTATCTAATATTTATTTTCAAGACTGTTTGAAGCTGAAATTCTTATATACACTTATTACGTGGTTGATTAATAATATTAAGCATTACAAAAGCTCAGAAAATTGGCTTCTTTCCTTCTTTCAGAAGATAACTTTCATAGGCCAGCATTTCATCAAAGTTGCAGAGTACATCCATATAATCTTCCTAATTCCTATTTACTAAAACTTAAAATAAAACAGGGAAGATGAAACCATTAATCATTTTTATTTTCGGTTTCAACAATCAAAATACATTATCTTCTTTCTTTTCTACTTCATCAGGATTAAAAGAGGCTAAAAAAAAAGGGGGTTAAGAAAGTCACTAATAAGAAAAATAACAAATTCTAGAGTAACTGGTCAGAAAAAATGTCCCAAAACAATAATGCAAGCCATAGACAGTAAATAAGCATATTCAGCATTTACATCAAAACATGCCCACAGGCCACATCCAAAAACTGTAAAAATTTAGGAGGTACACCACTTAACTAGAAATCTAACCCAAAAATAACCCCAAAAAGCCTTAAAAACCAAGAATCAAGCATACAATCTAATGAAGATTCTAGTTTTAAACCAAACATTTAAAACGCACAACCACTTCAAACAAAAAAAATTCCCATATCACCAACCAACCCACCGTTAATGAAGACAATCATTTGAAAAAAAAAAAAAACAGCCAAAACCCAGAAAAGAAATTTGAATCCAAAAGGTGAAACCCAGGAAAGGGAAAAAAATAAAATAAAAACGTACATATCAGCAGATTCTTGAACCTCTTCTGCTGCAGAAAAGAAGGCATCTTTTTGCCATAAATCAAAACTGTTTGCAACCATCATCTTCTCCACCCTTCAAAAGCTTAGAAACAAAATAAAATTATAAATTATAAGTAGGATTGAGAGATTTGCAATATGAATGGGTTTTCTTTCTTTTTCACTTCCCTTCTCTTCTTTGCTAAGAATAAGCAAAGAAGGAAGAGGGAGAAAGAAAACAGAAAGGCAAAAGAAGGAGAGAGAGAAGAGACGTAGAAGGGATTTTTATGATTCTCTTCTCTTCTCCTTTGCCTCCTTCCCCTTTCTTCTTTGTTTTTCTGTTTTGTTTCGTAATTGTCCCTAACTCGGTGTTTGGCACCAAAAACAAGAGTTTCTATCTGCTGTTGATATTACCCAACTTTTATTCCATAGTCATCCAATGAAAGTTCTCCACGTCAAATTCACTAAACATTACAGTGGACGTGTTTTCAATTTAATGGTTGATTTAATATAATTTTAGAAAAATCAGAAGCGAATGATAGCTCTAAATAAAAAAGAAAGAAAAATGAAAAAAGAAGGAAGACGTCGGTTGGTGGGTTAGAGATAAAAAGACAAACGACAAAAGCGGTGAGGTGGGCTGCCCCATTCGCTACAGGCAGTGCATTTTGTATGATAGGCCAGATTTAAGTAGGTCCTTTCAAGCACTTCATTAATTTACTATTTTTTATCAATTATTAATTAATTAGGGTCTACATATATTAATTAAAGTTTTATTAATAGTGCTTTTATATGTTCTTTTTCTTTTTCATATTTCTTCTCATGAAAAAAATGCATTTAACTGGAAAAATTCTGGTTAAAATACAAAAAATCTTTTATACTAAACTAAGAGCTCTTTAGACGCTTTTCTGTCAACTTAGCATGAATTTTCAATGCTTATGTGGCACAGAAAACGTGGTAAAAATAATAAATTTTAAGAACTTTTCATAAAAAATAAAAATTTAATTAAATCAAAATAATGTTTAAAGATTCAATTGAATATAATAAAAGTATAATAATTTATTTACAAATTTTAAAAAATATATAAAATTTTTAATATTTTAATCCAAATATTTATATAGAAAGAAGTAAATATATTAAACAAAATATTATTTTACGCTCTTATAGTGGAGTTTAAAAAATCTACAAACGGTTAAATTGTATTATATGTTAAGTTAATAATTCAATACTACCTCCTTATGTTTAGTTTAAAAGTTTTAAAAATAATATAAATAAAAAATAAATAACAAAAGAATCAATCAATTATAACTTTTAGTTTTGAGTTTTTAATGTATAGTAGAATCGGTAAACCTTGCCCTATTAAAAACCCGTCCAAATTTGATGTCAATCCAAATAGAATCTAAAACAATCAAAATGCAAATCGACTTAAATCTTAATTAGATACTAATATAATATAATTATGAAGGATCCAAATTTAAAAATACTTTGAAATTTCATGGTTTAATTTAGAAGGAACTAATCCACCTCTTGTATATAGAATAATAATGAATAATCTCTTTGGTTTAAAAATAATGCAAATGGCTTTACACATGCCTAAACAAAAGCTTATCCTATATGTAACATAGTGCTAATATAAATAAGTGCAAATGATAAGTTAATTATATTGGGTGCGGAATATTAGGAAAACGTGAAGGGGATTGTTGGGCGGGAAGTTTACATTAATAAATGATTGCGGAAGGAAATAAGTAAACATCATCATAGTCACACCTCGCATAACCTCCACTTCAACTACCCATTGCCATTGCTACCACTCCCTTTTTTTTTCTTTTTTGCTTCTCTGTTCTTAATTTAATTAGCATCATATTTTACTCAAGTACGCTCATTTGCATTAAACAATTCGCACCAAATTTGGTAGCCATAGAATATCAGTCAATTAATTGCTGAAAAGATTAATAAAGGTTTAGATACATTGAATTAGTGGTGGGGTTGGTAGAATGAATGAGAAAAGAAAGAGACAGAGTGAAAAACACACATGGAGGAGGGATGAGTTTTATTTCTCTTGCTTGGTGAAAGAAAGAAATAAATGTGAGATATGGTGGAGGAGTTGAGGTTACACTATCTAAATTTTAACTTGGAACCATAAACACTAGTCTTAAATTGATGTGCTTCCCTTTGGGACAGCCCCTGCATTTATAATTTTTACATGCAAATATTGCACGATCATGTCATTACCCTACACTCTCCTACTGCCAAAAACAACAAGTAATGTTACTTTATTCCTCAGAATCCACGGGCCACAATAAATAACTCCTGCTCCTTGCACTTTCAGATTTTCCACGTTGAAGTTGCATCAGATTCGTGCTCCATTACTGATATTGTTGGGATCTTGATAGCCAACAGCCGTTTATAGGCACCGATGACTTGAAGATACGATATTGCTTTAGTATGGTGCCTAAGAAAATGAAAGGTGAAAAAACAAAGGAATCAAACTTGGAGTAAGGATTCTTTGTGGGCTAAAAGGCAAAATTATAGGGTCCAGTGCTCTTACTATTTTGGAGTAGAACAAAGCCACCAATGCCACAAGTCAAATTTTGGCATCCACAAATCTTGTCCCAATATAAACCCTTTCTTCATCCCACTTTCGCAAGTGGTTAAAACAGTAATTGACCAAACAAGTAACAGCAATGTGCACCATGCTTTTCTCAAGGCTATTATGCCTTTATTCTCTTGTTCCATCCCAACAATCAGCTTATATATATCATCCAGGACAATCAACATGTATTTGTGATAACATAGAAACTCTCGTAATACCATTGATAATAAAATTATACCCATTATTCATGTCAAAGTCCATGGTTTCATGCTGCTTATAATATCAAAATTCAATGACGGTGTCAGATGCTGACAGGTCATTGACCTTGTGGGTGCGGCTATTAACAAGATTTTGTAAAAATAAAAAATAAAAAGTTGTCATACTGATGACCGTGCGCCACAAAAGCAACATTCAACAATCAGCATCATGATAGGCTTTATGATGAATACATTGTAGAGATCAGCTGTAGGCACTGAAGCAACGGCCAGCTCATCTGGCCAATACCTTGTCCTTATCCTCAGCCTTGCACTTGGACAGTTCATATTCCACCAGCTGAACACCTGTTGAACATGAAGTTGTAATCGAGGAGAAAATCCTCCTCTGCATCTCTTTAAATTCCAATGCCAACTTCACATCCCAACTGGCATTTTTTCTGCATGAATAAGACAGAAAATCCCCAATATTATAACTTGTAATTTTCTTCAAAGAAAACTGTATTCAGCTGTAAAGCATTCATAAATGCTTGCTTGAGATTTCTTTACCTATCAACCAAATCTGTGTCACCTAAATTTTCCAGCATGTCATTGAATGTGGACTGTAGATCTTCAAGAACTTGTTTATCAACTTCCAAGTTTGCTTCAATCTGTGGAGAAGGACAAGAAAAGAAAAGAATACAAAGAACTGAAATATGTCAACATTTTGTGATTAATGGATAAGTCAAAAACATTAAACTGGTTATCAAAGTTTAAGATAATCGCATAAGACAATAAAACTTTAGTATAACAAACACACTCAGGCAAAGGGGTACACAAAACACAGAAGAATGGGAAGGAAATTACAAGGGTCTTAGTTAATGGCATAGGGCTCCGAGCTCTTCGTAGAAAGTCTAATAAAGGAGATGGTAAGCCATAATAGAAGATACTTTGATTGTTTGACAGCCAGGTTCCCCGGACCATGTGGGTGGTCCAGTTTGACAAGGGGCAATCGTCAGTGGAGTCAACATCAAAATCTGCACCAAAAGAAGGCTTAATACATTATTCAGGGAATACAGTAGATGCTTGCAAAATAAGAAATACTTGGGGTTGTAAGTTTGCACAGGTGTGAAAGAGTGTGTGAAAATATTTGAAATCCATAAAAGAACATATATTAACCTAACTGAAAATAGAGCCCCAAATGTACCCAACATATGTAGGGGCTGTAAAGAGCTAGAGGCAAGAAAATTACCCAATGGAATCACATCATAAGGGTTGTCTCCTTGTGGTAAGAAGCCATAAAAGGTAACTAGATGGGAACCAGAGAACCTTCCATAACTAAGGCAGCATTGTTCTCCAACACTGCAAGGGCTTGATAGAGAAAATTTCAAGGAATTTGTAGCAGAATCTACTTTGCCATAGTGAACTATGTGTGGATGTAACTGAAAAGAACAACACCAGAATATCAACTAGAATTAAAACTCAGAAAAGGTTGCAAATTGGATGAGAATAAGTCTTAGTATATATGCATAAGACATAGGAACTGTGATGGACTAGGTTGAAGAAAAAACCTTGTTTTTTTTTTTTTTGAAAGATGGTTTTTATTAATGATGAGCTGGAATGCCGTGGGGAGTCTTCAACGTTGAGATTTGAAGACTCCTGTTGGCATGGAAGCTATCATAAGAAGAGCCTGTTCTGAACAATTACAAAAAGAGCAACTGCTCAAGGAGCACTTGGCAGCATCTCAACACGGATAATCTCAACACGGATAATCTCAAAAACAAATAGAGTTCTGGATAAATCCCTAAACAAGAGTCTAATACTAGTAAAACTCTATCAGAGTGATAAGATAAATGAGTGTTTTAAA